TTAGTTGCCAAAATAATCTTTAGCAAAACAACCTTTAGAGACTCAGATTGGAAATGACTGATCCATTCTGCATGTTGGCCTTCTGCCCCGCTCCTTGCAAGATGCTATGAGACAAATTTGTTCTGGTCAAAGTTTGTCAGGTGTTCTCTAACATGAGACACTGCAAGATATGTGACTTCCATTGTTCGCTCAGTTGTTGGGGGTTCTTTTGTTTTCTTGTTTTGTTTTGTTTTTTTTTTTTTTTTAATTCAGTTCAGTTGGAAGATCCAACTGTCTGAACACTTCAGGGCTGACCAAAAGTTAAACCATGCTATTAAGGGCATTGTCCAAATGCCTCTTAGACACTGGAAAAGGCTTGGGGCATCAGCCACCTCTCTGGGAAGCCTGTTCCAGCGTCTGACCAGCCTGTGGTTGAGACGGTATACGCTGGGTGTGAAAGAGAGCGTAAGAGATCTGCCTCTACGATTTCCCCAATGTGTATGGACATTCGCTGCGAGCTTGGGTGCTGCTCTACCAGTTCACGGTGTAACCCCTGCCTTGCCACTTGGCATTTTGGGGGGGGAGCCCTCTTTACTCTTTGGCACGGCTTTGTGCCAAGTTGTTACACACAAGCCCAAGTACGGAAGTCTTCCTTTTATTTCATCTTCTTAGTGAAATTTAGCTCCAGCTGTGCTTCAAGAATATTTTTTTTGCTTAATTGACTATTCATATTGAACATAACCATCACCATGTTGTAACTCTCAACAAAGTTAAAATCTCATATGGCCTGCCCACAAAGCCTGTCAATCTCAGGAAGGACCACTACAAATAAAGAATGCAGTATATACAATTTCTGAGACCTTCAGACCTCTGTCAGGACCACCAGAAAAGATGATAGCTCTCATGATAGTTGTTAACTGGACCAAGACAACAAAATGTCTTTTTATGTGACCTTGAATATTTGGCAGATGACAGTTAGTAGCAACACGTAAAACTATCTGCCTATTTCAGTTGAAATTGTTTATAACAATTTTATTCAACAGATTTTGTCTTTTTATTCTAATCAAGAGTCATCTGTGAACAGACTGTGTTCTTTATCAAATGTGCATGTTTGTTCAAAATTTACCAACTGGCTAGGTATTGATCAGATTCCCCAACCAAAATGTTTTTACATTTCTTTCCATCCCAAATTCCTTCCTGCCCTAGCCTTTCTGAGGACTGCAAATGAGTAATCCTTTGTGCATAATTTCTTATTGAATATTAACATAGAGTTTGCCTATCTTTATGCATGAAAGTTAACTCATTTCTAGCCATAATTCTGACTGATAGTATAGTTTTTCTTTATTTCAGTTTCTCATGTGGTATTTGCACGAATACCTGCTCTGCTCTCGAGAACACTGTTAGCCCCACACCAACTTCACAGCAAAGGCACTAGACTAAATTCATGGTTGCTTTACATTCAGGTCCTTCTAAGTACCTAGCTGAAGCTAATATTAGTGAGGTATGGGGCACATTATGGTAAAAGGAAAGACTAACAGTTTCATGAAATTTTGGTCTGTCCTCTCTTCCTTTCCTCTCTACTTAGGTATTAGTTTTAGCAGTGTTGGGAGCACTCTTCAGTTGGGTGCAGCCAAAGTGTGGTGTTTGGGGTTTTTTTGTTGTGTTTTTTTTTGTTTTAGTAGTGTATATGTGTATACATACCCTCCTCCTTTTTCAGCCTTAATACTGACTGACAGTCAAAGACTAATACCAAAATTGTAATAAGAAAAAGTGACCCAAACTATTGAGGAACTGTTAAAATGAAATTATTAAAGGAAGATTTGCATTGCATCCAATACAAGAATAAGTAAGTATGAAATTTAGGATACCTGAATTCTTCAAGGTCATTCAAAAAAGTAACAGCCTAATTTGAGTGACTTCAATTAATCCAGTACTCACATGGCTTACAATTTTTCTTTGCTTAGTGAAAGCTAAGGTCCCTAAAATAAAATAAAAAAAAGGTAACAAAATACTTTTCTATTTTTAATGGTAACAAACCCTAGTGTTCAAATACGTCTTTGCAGATCACTGGTATTTTTTCCAAAAGATGACAGAGGAAGGAAAAATAAAAGTTTCACATTCCAGAGTTCTGCTTTGCTCTTTGTTACATTTCAAAAACCTACTGAGGAAAAATACAACTTTACAGAGAAGCCCCTTAACGAACATAATACAGTTCTTACATTTATTGAATTTATTGAAGTCTTATGAAAACTTAATTGACCATTGATTGCCTCTGTTTTGTCTCTGGCTGAACATAACTCCATGATTTCTTTTGTTTTAAAAAACCCACACATTTCTTACTGACTGTCATAAGTAAATTTTTACAAGCTGAAATGCATAAGCATATTGATAACTTATAATGATGAAAATGAAATAAAATAGATTTTGACTGCAGGAAGTTAAGTTTAGGTAAAGCATGACTTTTCACCCTGGATTTACTGGAAAATGTCTTATTTACATATAGGGATGTTTATATTGCTGATCTGTAGACAATTCGTTGCCATATGATGCTTCACATGTTGCTTTCCACTACAGTACAATTATTTCTATAGGTGATGTTAAGGCAGTCACCTCTGCAGTATGGGACTATATGCCGGGAGCCTCAACGTAAGCTAGATGTTCACTCCTAATTAGTCAAAAGCAAATCCTCCCACCATCAAATATTTATTCTCTTTAGAGGTATGCATATTATATTGAAATACGAGAAACCAAACGCATGCTTTGCTGAGGTAATACATACTTGAGGGAAATGGCCTCTTTATACAACATTGGCAAGTTCTGTTACATTCAGTTTTCTGTCTCCGACAGCCACGTGAATACTTGCCTCAGGAAATGCATATGGATACTATCGCTATCTCCAGCAAGTGTCACTGATGTTTATGTTCCTTTTTTTTAATAACTAATTAAGGAGGTATCTGAGACAAGCTCTCAGGTAAAAAACAGTCAATAGTGAGTGCCGTGACCTGTCAGTCATTTTGTGATCTCTTCTGCGACTTGCTGCCTAGAAGCTTCGCAAGAAAGAGAGAACTGCCGCGCTGAGCTCAGGGGCTTTCTGCCTCTCTTTCACATAGGGATGGAGAACACATTCACCTTCTATCTACAAGAAAGCAGAATCAGTGATAAATTCACAGTGTGTTAATCCTGAGGCACTAATCAGCAGATAAAACACACTTAGAGACAGCATATTTAGGCTGCACATTAACATGTTCAGGCCATAGATATCTAGACCATGCCGCGCATATTATATGCAGTACATAAGTGAGGGTGCATGTAGTGGCATACTCTTTGCTTCCCTGGGTAAATATTCTGTCATATATAAGGTTTCTATTCTTTCTGTGTTTCTGAACATGGATCTGAATGGCGTTGGTTTCATGCCATTTGAACGGGAGCTATGAACGTTCTCCTGCAAAGAAAGTGGCAGAAATGTTGCCTCTGGGAAATACTTCTCCAGCTGCTCCTTGCTTGGTGGTGAATGTATGTCACTGAGAGGAGCACATGAACTCATTCAGTCAGATTATGCTATTTTCACAAAGCTTTTTTAATTCACCATCACAACTGCTTGCTATGTTCAACTCATCTGGAAAATAGTTACTGAAGCAAGACTCTCCCACCCAGTTGCAATGAATGTCCTGTGCGAGCAAGACCCAGAGAAAGAAACCTAGACATCCCTGCCTTTGGGATCTCTGCTATCTTCATGAATCATCAGTTGACATTTCGGAGTTGTAGGGCAAACAAGCTTAGAATACCTACCAAATCAGAGCCTTTTCCAAGGATAAATGTAATCATTACTTGATTTGAAAACAATACCATATCTACATTAGGGGAAGAAGCTGTTTTTTAACTTGAAGGTCTCCATGAACTTGTAGATTTTCCTCTTTTCTTCATATTAAAGTGACAACTACCTTCTCCAACCTGTCAGTTAACAGCTAGTCTCTCACACATCCTACTTCCCAAGCGTAGACAAGGTGTTGCTTAGACAAAGTAACAGAGACTGGATTCCGAATGCCTGTTAAACACCGAGCGACGTGGGAGGTCTACAGATAAAAGCATCTTGCAGTTTGGAGCAGATTGCGATAGAATGACTCAGGGGGAAGGAAACAAAACAAGGAGGTTTCTTACTTCCAGCTCCCTCAGGACCGCTGCCGCACAGGTCCGCCGTGACTCGGGGTCGGCGCTGACAGCCTTCAGCAGCCCGTGAGGAGGAGCGGGGGAACGGCCCAGGACCCAGCGGGGGCTGACGTGAAATGTAACCACAGATGGTACCCTCTGGCAGCGCCTGCACATCAGCAGATCAGAGCTAAAACCTACGTGTGGGGAAAACCTTCACTGCCGCATTGTTTCTGATCAACTGAGGGAGACTTCAATGTCTGCTCATGCCGCAGTTACATAAAAAGTCTTTTAGTGTTGTGAACTTCATTTGACTTTCTGTAGCAATCCCAAATTGGCATGTCTACTACTACTTGTAGCTAAAACGACTAGTTCTGATAACTGGAGAACTGATGCTGATTTAGATTGTTTGCTTATTAACACTGAAAGGGACATTGCTATCTTTGCCCTCAAAAACATGAGATCTTAAAAAAAATAAAATCTTCAAATGTGACAAAAAGTCAAATTTACAAGCAAATTGCTTTTTAAAGTTGTTCTAGCTGAAACGCACATTGTGATGCTGGGCTTTTTAACCATTCATAGCATAAATAACACTGGGGAATGACAAGCAAATATTCCAAAAAGAACAAATTAAAGCTGTCATTTTGATTAAACTGGTGCTTTCTCATGAGGCATTTAATTTTCAATGAATTAAAGATTTCTGAAAAAATAAGTGTTTTGTTTTTAATTTAATTAAAATCCATGGCTGGCACCTTGTTTATGCTTCTAAATCTTTATAACAGAAATAAGAAAACCCCTTCTTATCTCTCACTGCTTTTTCATATGTTCATGTTATGTCATCTTTGTTTATAACGTTTTTTTTCTTACTATTGCAGGCAATGAGACCCTAGAAGAAAACTATGTGCAGGACAGTAAAATGGGATTTGTCATCAATGCTATATATGCTATGGCTCATGGGCTCCAAAATATGCATCATTCCCTTTGCCCTGGACATGTTGGGCTGTGTGATGCTATGAAGCCAATTGATGGAAGCAAGCTCTTGGAGTTCCTCCTCAAATCCTCATTCATCGGTGTTTCTGGAGAAGAAGTTTGGTTTGATGAAAAGGGAGATGCCCCTGGAAGGTAAAGAGATGTTTAATCTCTGCTAATTAAATCAGATGTTGGGAAGGGGAAATGTTGCTTGGTTTGGTGATGGAGATTTCTTTGGCTGTTTTGCCAAGACATGCCAACACAGCATGCCTACTGTGAGATGTAAATGGAGTTACCTGGATTAGTCTTACCAATGGCCAGGAATGACACTGGTAACCCATGATATATTGATAGACACAGCTTAAATTGAGACAAGATCTACAGTACAGCCCGTAACATTTCTAGTGTTTCAGGAGAAGACAAACCTTGTATCTCACATGTACAAGGATCAGCACCAGGGTTTTAACGGGTAAAAAGCCTAATATAAGTGCTTGGAAATTGATGAAACATTTACTTGCTAAGGTTTTGAAGGTAGGGCTGTAGAGCACATCCTTTTCCAATTGGATCTCTGCTGCTCCATGTGCCCCAGGGACGTAGCACTGTATCCTTGCCAGAGACTATTTAGTTCTGCTTGGTCAACTCCTGTGTGCTCCTCTTAATTTTTTCACTCCAGATAAGCTTGGCTGTTGCAGAGTTTAAAGATAGGTCCAAGTAGAGCAAGACAAATAAATTTTTTTTTGCCAGCAAGTAATGTTTCATGGATTCAGGGTCTGGTAAATTCCAGCTGTGGTAGCTGCTACTGCCTACCCCCCCCAGCAGACACAGTGTGTATCTGAGCAATGGGTGAGACAGCAACTTTGTGGACTTGGGTGTCACCTTTTTATCTCTTACGGGAGGCAGCTGACAGAAATATTTTCCTCTACATTTAGTTCTGTGGGCTCTGTCCAACTATTTTAAGTGAGACACCTCCCAGATGGGTTTATTTTTGAGTTTGGTTTGGTTTTGGTTTTCTTTAATAAATAAGTTTAATTCAGCTGCTGAAGTACACAATCCATTACTACTGAAACCTGCTCAGGGGTTACTTCATTGAAGTTCGTTTTCCTACTGAGTTATTAAAGTGCTATAAAAGACTCTCTCACTCCATCTTTGGGTTTATTGCATAAATGCATCGGAGTGCCAACACTGCACAAAGAGTGCTCTGGAATAAACAAGAGTTTGCAGTCTAGCATGTGCCTTCAAAGAGTATTCACAAGACACAGTGGCCTTAAAGCAACTCTTAGTTCTATTACTAGCCTTTATTAGCAAAACTGACAAACTTTTTTACCATTTACTGCTTGCATTGCTTGTTATATATAACAGTGTATGCATTTAAACAGGTCCTTACATTTACATAATAAGAAAAACTGGTCGGGTTTGTCTTCCTGTTGAGCATTGTACACTTTTTATTTTTTTTTAGTCAAAGATACAGATGAGCTAGGTCAGGTTTTGACAGTAAAGGCAAACAATTCCCTTATAGTCCAACACACAGTTATTGACACAAATGCATAAATCAGATCTTTGCACATATAATTTAGGTAATACAGAGAAATTACTGCTTAGTGTAGCTTTAAGTTTATTACACACTATTTATCTCCATAAAAGCATTACTCCAGCTTTGTATATGCTGCATTGTCTGCCTGTTAGTTATATGGTTTGACGTTTAGGTGTCATTTTCCAATTTTATCCCAAATCTTATTTATTATCTTGTCACCTGAGAGCGTTTCTACAACTCTCATCAGTACCCAGTGTAGAATTAGAATGAACAGCTCCTGAATTCGAAATGCAGGAGGGTTTATATCAGGATGTTTCTCTGAGTAGATCAGGATGACAGAGTTTATTCCAGCAAGGTTATTTCTTTTGATTGTCTGGCCTATATAGAATTTAATGGGTTATTTTAGGCAAGATTTTTTTTTTTTTTTTTTTTGTTCTCCATTTGTATTTTCACAGCTGGAGTTAGTAAA